GTAACTCAGTCAGAGTCGGCACAGAAGGCGTCATAGGCATAGATCAAAAAGAGAGTGTTAGTGAGTCCGAACGGAGTGAGTTCTGCAGCAAACTTAGTGGTCTGTCCGTCAACAATCTGTCGTTCATATGCGTTCACAACAMGTGGAGCACTCTTTATCAGTTCTTTCCGGCCGATCCAGAAGAATTCGTTCAACGGGTGGTAGAGGAAATGAACTTTGTACTGTCTGTTCCTTCCTCTCCCCTCGTGAGAAACGATTCTGTCAATCTCATGGCCGCCGGCGAGGTATCATAGGATCACGGTAGGGAAAAGTCTCATCATCAATGTGTGGGAACAGTTTGGAGGCATGGAAGACTGGATACGTGCGCAGATGAGGAGGCACGTCAATCACATACGAAGGACCGAAATCATCCCCGACTACCTTCAGAATCTGCCAAGGGCCGTAGTACAGTGGAAGAAGCTTCCGTGATATGCCCTCTTCATCAGAAAACTCAGACATTTTGACCCAAACATAATCCCCTACTTTGAACTTTTCTTCTTTGCGCCGCTTATTGGCATGTTTGATCATGGCATGCTGGCGCTTGTTCATAGCTGCTGTAGCAGCTTTGAGCAAGCGTGCGTACTTGGCATTGTAGCCAGGCATGCCAGGCATCAGACCAGGTGGCCGTTCAGGGAACAGATAGGAGAGGGGATTACGCATCGGCCATCAATACTGCAATTGGTTTGGTGTCACACCAGTCGCAGAGTGAATGGAGTTGTTGTACAGCCCCTTCACTTTGTGCAATTCCTTGTCCCACGTGTTCTGATCTGGAACAATTAGTGCGCGAAGCAATTGGATGACAGTCTGGTTCATCTCCTCAGCCAATCTGTTGGCTTCGGGGTGACGACCAGAAGTCCTGTTCAGTTTGATGTCGTAGATCTGAGATGTGAAGTCTTTCCAATCTTTGCTGATGAATCTGGTGTCCCGATCACTCACAATAGTTTTCGGGACGCCCGGACTGCAGAATGTACTACTGATGGAATTCTTCTATGACAAGTTCAGTTGGGGCATGAGGAGGGAGAGGAATCAAGTTCAGAAATTTGGAGAAGCGGTCCACAATGACCATGACTTGTGAATTCCCAGCCTCACTCACCTTTCCCATGTCCGTGAAGTCGATGGAAATCGACTCGCCGGGTCCATCGGAAATGGGAAGAGGTCTCAATAGACCATAAGGCTTTTGCCTGTGAACCTTGATCCTTTGGCATACTTGACATTCAACAATAAATTTCGGAGCAGATCCTTTCATTTCTGGCCAGTCAAATTGTTGCAGAAGACTTCCATAAGTCTTCTCAAAGCCACAATGTCCACTCCGACCGTGCGCCAGATCCAAGAAGTGAGTTTGGAGAGGCGCATGGTTGGGAAACGGTCAAACTTTCCGTACCGGCGAAATACAAGACCCTCGCATTCATGAAAATCAGGATGACTGTTGGGGTCAGCCTTGAGCTGCTCAAGGATGGGACTAAGGTCCGGATCCTTGGCAGTGTGCTCGACCAGATCCTCCTTCAGTTTCCTCCGGAGGTCGTACGAGTCCACAAGGCAAGTCAAATACTCGGGATGGCGAGACAGAGCATCAACAACACGATTATAGCAGCCTTTCTTATGTTTTAGTTCAAAGTTGAAAACATCAATGTCATGCAGCCAGCGGGTCAGAGTTGGAGAGAGGTCAGTTTGTGTCTTTATCCATTGCAAGGTCTGATGATCTGAATAGACCTTGAAGTGGCGACCCAAGAGGTAGTGCTTCCAAT